AAGACTATCTTATTTCAAAATTGATAGGTATACCAACTAGTCTCCTCAAATGATTCTATATATACTGTATCTCAATTCTCAATACTGATTCAATCTTTATCAGTTTTCATTTTAGAGATCACGAAATTACTCAAAATATCTGGAAGACACCCAAATCAATCAATTAAGCCAAGCACATATATAAGTGAATAAAGCTCACACAAAATAAAAGAATGTATATATAGTTTAAAGACAAAATCAATTGAAAGGCTACTTTTGAATAGTTAAACCCATCCAAGATTTCCAGTGACAATACAGACATTATAAACCATGAGATTCACACATTCATAGTCAAACTCTGAAATCAAGAACCCCCATTATGGACAAGCTGTATAATTGATATCTCAATATTTATAAAACTCTTAAATGCTTTCGATGCATAGCCAATAAAAACAATCTACATCTATTTATATACTCTAATCACTAACTTAATATTAAACAAATGATTATTAATACCATTCACAGGGAAATAGCTATCAGAAAAGAAAGAAATTCAGCTATAACATAAATCAAGAAATCACAAGCATCCTCAATAAGTCCAATATCTGGCACATAGTTGTTAGAGGAGGAATCACTAAAAATCTAATCTCACTTATTACACAACACATAAAAATGAATAAAATAATCAAAAAAGAGGCAAGAAGATATTTGTAATTGTATAAGGACAAGAACAAATATTTTATTTATAAGATATTATTAATGATTTGAATATATGTTTGAATAATAATATTTCAAGATTTTTGGATGTCTATAAATACTGTTTTAGCTACTACTAAATATGACAATATTTAATATTACACTATTATAACTATATGCTATTAATTATATATTTAGAATCTATAATCACTATAAATAGTATGTTTACTAAGTTTGCTAAGTTTGTTAAGAGTATTACTAACTATGGAAACTCTGTTAGTATCACTAATTTATATTAATAATAGAATAATTATAATGTTTATAGAACTGTTTATATTGCATGTCTCCAGGACTACGGAATCAGTGCTCATGTCATGTAACACAGAACATCAACCAACAAAAAAAGCACAATAGTACAAATAGAAAAAAAAAAAGAACAACAATAACAATCAAAAGTCAAATGATACCTATTTGGGAATATCTGCTAATCTTCTAACTGCAATCATCAAAGATATGTATGATATTTTTACTATTTTTAACAAAGCATACTAATGAAGCCTAAGTATGTTAACTCTTTTATCAAGAGAGCAACAAGTCATAAAGATACTAAGGTACAATTAACTTTTTTGTAAAAACCTTGTAAATATATACAGAGAAAAGTAGTTGACAAAATGGCTTTATAAATTCAAGTACTTGTAATACAAGAAAAATTAAATAAAGTAGGTTTGAACATGTCTATTAAAAAAAAAAAGAATCTGGAATCCAATATAAGTTATTTATTTACTGTAAGTAAATAAAAAATTATTATACCAAAAATGTTGGAACTAAATATGTCTTGAAAGTAAAGACTTATATTAAGTAATAAGTCTTTTTAATATTATATAAGAAAAAAATCAATATCAAGAATAGATAAGTTTCTCAAATAATTAGAAAAAAAAAGATATTTCAATTGAATATTTCTTATTGAAAAGAAATCTTAAAAAGTAAATCTTTAAAGAAAGCTGGAGAATTTTATTTTTTTTTCTTTCATTTTTTTGTAAATCTATTTGGATATTTTTGGATATTTGCTTTTTCTTTTTATTAAGTAATCTTCTTACAGTTTTCTGTATTTAATGGCTTAATAGGATATATAACAAGGACAACCTGCTAATAATAAAGTAATAGATCAAAAAGGTTTTTATCCAAAGACTACTATAAAATAAAATATTGTTCTCAAGATTAAATTTAAAGACTATTATTGCTTATAATGAGTTTGTTAAATTTGATAGAAATATTTATATATAGTATATGTTATACTGCTCAAGTGAAAATATACTTATGTTTTCAATTGATTAATAAACTGTAATTTAATTTAACTATGGATATACAAAAAAAAATAATTTTAATACTATAGTATAAATTATTAATTTTAAATTATATAAGTAATAATAAATTATATATTCTTGATTAAATTTTTGAATAGCAACTTATAAAGAAATAAATTTATTTTTTTAACTATATATTCTAAAGTATAAAGATTATAATATTCAAAATAATTAAAATTTAAATTATTTTTTAATGTTATAGAACTAGTATTTGTTTAGTAACTAAATATATATAACACAATTGTATAAAAATTTTTTTGTTAAATGATTTTTTGTAATCCATAATTGTATTATGATTGCTTGTTTTATTGAGAAATTAAAATAAAATCTATATTATTTTATAGACTTTTACAAAGTAACTAACTTGTATATAAGTACTTTAAGTCAAATTTTAAGAATAATATTACACTCCTCTGATATATTAGTAATGATATCTATTTATCAAAATCATTGTTAACAGTTTATTACTATTAATTGACCTGAAAATCAATGAATTGCTAAGTTAAAAAGAAAAAAAAAGAAAATAATTAAGGAAAGAACAATTTAAGATCTATCAAAAAAGTTCAAAAATAAAAATAACCACTTCTCAAAGGGATTTACCTAATTGAGATAGTTTTCTTGTTTTACTTGAATCTTAAAAAAAATTTTTTTTTCATCAACTATAGTATCAGATAAGTTAATTTAACTGGTCTTTTATTTAAGTAAGTATCAGATTGATATATCTCAAAAAAATATTTAGATCTTTATCTAACACTTGATCTTTTGATGTTATAAAAGACTTTTTTAAGAAACTTGAGCTTTTGAGGGCAAACATTTTTGAAATATTTTTTTTAATTATCAATAACATAATTGGAATATGCAAATATAATTATAAGAGCTTGTTTACATTCTAAAAACTAATGTATTTTATGTTAGTCAATTATTTTTAGTAAGGATTTATACTATTCAAAATTTAGAGTCAAACTGAGATAGTCAAAATTCCTTAAAAAATCATGAAAATGAAAGCTCTAATAGGATCAGGACAGTTAAAAAGGAAGAAAATAAGTCTTTCTACAGAAAACCTTTATAAACCTCTTGTTTTAAAAATTAAATAGACCTTCAAATATTTCATAATCAGTTTTTCTTTCTTTAGAAACTTTTTTGTCATTGATATTAAAGGTGTTACTTGACTTTTCTTAATTATTAAAAATTAAATTTTTGTCTAAAAAGAGTTGTAACCAAAAGAGAAAGGGTAAAGTTGACTCATAAAGTCATATTTCAAGTTATTTTAAGGAAAGTATTAAGATTTTATTAGCAAAAAAGTGTAAAAATTTCTTGTGAATATCTTTTTTATGTATAGTCAAAAAATTAATAGATTTTTTTTATTGAATGATTTTTTTGATTTTAGCTTTACATATTTAATTATAATAAAATCCAATAATTTTTTACATATTTAAATATTTGTTATATCATAAAAAATAATTTTTTATAATAGTAAAAAGTAAAATATATAGCCAAATTTAAGAAAAAATATATATTTATAGAAAAATAATTAAAAAAAATAATATTTGAAATTATAAAAATTACTGTAATTCATAGTTATTTATTACTATTCTATTTAGTTAATTCATGAAACTGGTATTAATTCTTTTATTTAAAAAGATTTTATGTTCTAGTTTATTAGATGAAGTACAATATACAATTATTTATTCTTTATTAAAGATTTTTTTAACTGTCTAAATGTATTTAGATTTAATTATACTGCATCTTCACAATCTAAGAATCAAATATATAGTATATAACCTTAATATGCTCAAAATATTATAAACCTATTTATATTTATATTGATTTTAAATCTTTTTTATGATCCATTTTGAAATATTACTATTATTAGTATTAAGCTCAGCTTTCAAATTAAAAGTCGAGTTATTGTATCTTGTTGATAATTCTAGTCCATCAGTAATTTTTAATTGTAACAATATGATATTTTAAATTTATTTGCAAGTATTGTATATAATATAGAAATAATAGAGAGATGAAATAAAAAATAGAAAGACCAAAACATTAAAACTTCAATAAAGTTTAAATACAAATAAAATTTAAATTATAATAAGTACTAACAAATAAAATAACTTACAGTATATGCCAATACATAATAATAGTTTTGACATACTTAGAAAACAATCCAACAAAATAATTATTATTAAAAATCCAATAACATGAAATATAGGTATACGTATATACAGTAAATAATATTGATTTAGTTGTAATTAAACTATATATTGATTGATGATTGAAATAGGTTTTATAATAATTTTATTTAATACAAAAAATATATATACAGTATATAATAGTAAAATTATTTTAATAAAATTATATTGTCGGAAGAATTTATTGAAAGTTAACTCGGACTACCTTTGATGCCTATTTTGTTTTTAAAGGAATTTTCCGAAAATTATTTAAAGAATTTTAAGTTTCAAGAGAAATTTCCGGAATTGAAAATCCGAAGATGGTTTGTATCACCGACTGTACAATAAAAATAATTACGTGCTTCAATTAACGGATTACAGTACGTATACACCTGCCTCGTGAATAATGAATGACGAAAAAGTTATCGTGACTAGAAAAGTAAGGTTGACTTGGAATAAAGCATTCCTTTCTATGGACAGGAATATTTATTCGGCATATAGTCAACGAGAGGGTTATCTCCGGAAGTTTTTTAACGACGATTCATCACTCTCAGAGTCGGAGAAGAGTTTTCTTATTGATAAAGCTCGAAGCTATCTTGATATTGCCAGAGTAATCTATAATTCAAGCGAAAAAAGAAAATGCAACTTTTGCCAAAATTTATGTCAAGCAACTAGATACTGTGAAATTTGTATTCGCGAATATTTAGAGGAAAATTTTAAAAACTGGACTTCAGGAAATATAAAAATTGACGAGCTGATCCAAGAATGTCAGCAAAAGGTCATATCGCCTAAGTATATTATCGAATGGATTGATTACGGTCAATTTCAAGACATTAAGCATAAGGCAGAAGGCGGATGCGCTACAATATATTCGGCGAGATGGAAAGATGGTCCATATAGTAGATGGGATTCTGATAATCAATTACTAAAAAAGATCCGAAGAACAGGTCATTCTAAAAAGATTCAATAATTCTAAGCATAATGATGAAAAATGGTTTCAGGAGGTTGGTTTAAGTTATTGAAATTTATTTCATTAACTTCTAATAATTGTTACTAACATCAAAACCACATGGTAATTAGGTAATGCTAAGTTTTACTTTAGATATCACTAATATGTACGTGGCAAGATGTTTCGGACTAACGAAAGATCCGGTCAACAATGATTATATGCTAGTTTTATATCCCTTTCATAGTGATTTGAGGAAATTTTTGAGAAAATATCCTTAAATCACCTGGTCACGGAAACTTCAAATTATTACCCAAATAGCGGACAGTTTAAGTAATATTCATGAGAAAAATGTGGTTCACCGAGATTTACATTCGGGAAATGTTTTGTATCACAAAGTACTTGATGAATGGAGAATTAGTGATCTAGGATTTAGCGGGCCAGCAGATAAACCTCATAACAGCATTTATGGGAATCTTCCCTATATTGCGCCCGAAATTCTGAACGGAGAAAATTATACAACAAAATCAGATATCTATAGTTTGGGTATCATAATGTGGGAAGTATTAACCGGAGAGGTACCATTTGGTAATAGGGAACATAATGCTGATTTAGCATTTGAAGTAATTAACGGTATGCGACCAAAGACTAAGGGGAATGCTTCTACTCAATATGTCGATATAATGAAGCGGTGCTGGGATGCAAGTCCTAGCAATAGACCTGACGCAGATAATGTTTGCACAGTGGCAACGCAATTGCTAGGAGCTTCTTATGAAGTTAGCAGTAGTAAAAGGCACTACTTAAGCGTACATTCCGTAAAATTGAAATCAAACATCAAGAATTTCTTTCGACCAATTTGTCTAGGAAAATTACGTAGTATTCCAACAAGTAAAATTCATATGCTTAGTGATTTGTCACTGCAAAGAAGCGGAATTAGCGGTAGGTTTTATTTCACGGTATAAACATCGTTTACAATGCAATAGCTACATTAACCTTTGATTAAACTCCTTACTACAGAGAAAGGTTTGTATTTTGAAAATTCGATTTCTTTTATCCAATTACAGTATAATAACTCTATTTTCGGAATTTAGCATATGAGAAGAAACAACGTGAATCAAGAACTTCCAGCGGTAAACTTTTAAATCCACCTAATAATCATATTAATTTAAGCATAACTATCTAAAATCTATTCATTTCTTTCGTAGAATTTGAAAGTAACATTAATGAAAAGGAAATAGAGCTATGAAACGAGTCTGAATTGACGAGTATCAATTAGAATTCACCGAGGGTATTTCATATTATACTTTTTTTTCATATACAGATTATTATGTGTATATTATTTATCCTATAAATATTTTTTTTTACTTTCGATAAATTGTAATTTAACTTAGATACATTTGTTAATTTAAAATCAAGCTTCAATGTATTTTATGAGTTTTGAATTTATCATTTCTATTAATTTTTTGTGGGATATCATTATAGTTGTCATGGTTATTTTGATGTTATTATCTAATCAAATTTAATAAATGTTGTTAGATGTCTATGAATCAGGTGTCTAGAGATTTGTTCTATGCTCTGATACTATAGGTAATTTGTTATTTTTATATGTAAAATGGCTTATTATTGTTTGTTTCTGGTAAGTTGATGATGTTTATATGATCGAACACTTACTGATTACTAAAAATAATAATGATATGTTTTGTTTTTCGAACCTATCTTACTAAATAGTAAGAAGGCCTTTACAGGGGTCGAGTATTTTAATGAGATAGGTAATATTTTGATTAATATTGTCTCTTTATAAAATTTTTTTCTTTATATTTAGTTTAATATATTCATAGCTTTATCATAGGACTTAAATTATAAAAGAGTGAGATTACATTTGTCTCCTGATCAATTCTGTATAAAGTTTAAAAGGATTATTATTGAGATTCGCATCAATATTTGAGTTATTTATTTTATTTTGAAGTATGGAGCTTATGGCTCTATTTACATTTTTATATAAACTTAAGTCTAATAGTAATATTTTCTTTTTACTTTATTTTAGATATTTAAGAATCTTTTCTATATTAATTAAAATAGGTCTAAAGTTTTTGTTACTATTATTTATATTAGATAGCAAATAAAAAAAAACATAGAGATAGATTTTTTAATCAGCTTTGTTTATTTAATAATAAATTTTTTAATTTATGTTTATATTTTTTTTTATTCTTTAATATAATTAATATTAACTTGTCAAAATTATTATTAAACTTAATATATGTATGGTAACTCACAAAAGTCTTGTACTATCAAAAATTTAAACATCAAATCTGATTAACCAATAATAATTAGTATTTAAAAGTAATCAATCAAAATTAAAATTGATAATCTATAAAATATACATTTTTTTTTATTTTTAATTACATTCTTGATTTTTTAAAAATCAAATCCATTAGAAACAAGATTACCAGATCATTTTAGAAATATAAAATTAGCAATGTAACATAAGCCAGATTCAGATTTTGTTACAAAGATAGAAATTAGATTATAATATTCTATTTTATAAAAGTATTAGAAGCTAAAGTATCCTATTTATAAAAATAAAGATAAATGAAAAAAATGAATATATGTATATGTATATAAATAAAATATTTTATTATATATACAAAATAATTATTAAATATTTATTTAAAGATTATAGAAGCTATTAAAGAAATTTAGAAAACTGCAATATCTAATATATTTCATATCCAATGATGTGCCATAATAAGTATAATAGAGATAAAGTAAATATAATTAAAAATATTACAGAAATTCAAAAATAATCAACTAATACATTATTGACAATAATTACAAATCTATCAATCAAATATTTCCATCAAATATTTAATTATAATGTGTATTTTATAAAATTATGAACATTGGGTCTAAAATTATTCATCAATTCCATCTAAATATTGAAATTATTATTATTGATATTAAAAAATGAAAAATTATTTAGTAAAAAATTGTACATTAAGACAACAAAAGCCTTCATAGATATTGATATAATTATTAATTTTTTATTTGTAATGTTTAATAATAATAATAATAATAATAATTTTCATTAAAAGATATATAATAATCTTAAAGAATTGATAGGAGAATTCAAAAAAAAAATTAAATTATTTTTTTTGGCAGGAAGATAAGTTATTTTTTTGGTAGGACCCATATATATATACAGTAAATATATTTTTTAAAAGAATAAAAAATTATTATCATTTTTTTTTTTTTGGTGGGTGGATCAAAAATTATTATTTTTTTTTTTAACAGGAGAGTCAAAAATTATTATCATTTTTTTATGTGAGGACCAAATTAATTCTTTTTGGTGGATCAAAAAAATTTTATAAATAAAGAATTATTATTTAGTATAAATCAAATTTGATTTTCATTTTAATATAATACAATTATTAATTATATAATAAATATATTAAAAATATGTAGATATTTAAACTTTTAATTCATAATATCTTAACAATTATCACTTAAAAAAACATGCATGTATAAGTGTTTTGCTTGAAGGAGATTATACAAGTTGTCAAATTGCCTCTTGTAAAAAAATTAAATATTCAACTATTATTAGACAACATCAAAAAATAAAATTAACAGTAGTTTACAGAATAGACTCAAATTAAGATGACCACAATACTTTTCTAAAGGATTTGAAAGAAGAATTGTACACTATATCTTAACTGTAAATGTTTTATAACTGTTAATATTCAAAAAAAAACTTAAAACTGAAGAAAAAGTTGATGTTTCAGCTGAAACTATATTGAATACTTAAAAGAAATGGATTTAAGTCAAAAGTTAAAAGTAAAAAACTATTTTTTAAAAGAAAAGCATATGCAAAAGTAATTAAAATTTGCTAAACAATACTGACCTAACTTTGGATTAAAAAAAAAATAAAATTTGCTAAATAATATAAAGATTGAACTATCAAGATTGGAAAAAAATAATTTGATTTGATAAATATAAATTTATGCTTTATGATTCAAATGTTAAACAATATTGTTAGAAAAAATTTAATGAGTCTTTAAATGAATGATATATTAAATCAACAGTTAAATTTGATGGTGAAAATATAATGGTTTGAAGTTGTTTTTGTTCTCAAGGAATTGGAAATCTTTGTCATATTAGTGAGAAGATGGATAGTAAACTTTATTGTCAAATACTTGAAGAGATTTTCTAGGAACATTTGAATGATATAATATAAATAAAAATATTATTATCTTTTAACAAAATAATGATCCCAAATATACTTCAAACTTGCTAGAGCCTGAATTGATAATAATAATATTAATGTTTTTAAATGGCCTGCCCAATTACCTGATCTTAATTCAATAAAGTATTTTTGAAGTGAAGTTAAATATCAATTACATACATTTTCTGAATAAATCATAAATAAAGAAGATTTATAGAATAAATTACAAGATATTTGAAATAATATTAAATTAGAAAAATATATTAAGTTAATTGAAACAATATCAAAAAGAATTAATAATATTATTTCAACATATCCAAGAAGATAGAAAAAACAAAAAAATATACATAACAACTGATGGAGCCTTCAACACTAAGCAACCAACATCAATGAAAATTGGCACCATCATAAAAAATAAAGCTGGAGACTCTGAAAACATTCAGTATGAAACTCGATAGACATCATCAGCCTTTAGAGCCAAATTACTTGCAAAAACTGTTGCCATAGCATTTATACCACAAAGAACTACCCTCTAAATGTATACAAACTTTGCCAAACTAATCATAGAAACATCCTGTGCAGGAGTCCAGAGAACCAAGAGCATTTTCAAATACAGAATAATCTACAATCTGCACTTGATCATTCAAGTTTCACACCAAACAATTCATTGGTATAAGATAGACAAAGACCAAAAAATGAACACAGTTCTCAATATAGCAGATAAAGTAGCCAAGATTGCACTAATTAACACAACTACAGATGGCATCACAAAAGTGACTACTCTAAAAAACACAATAACAACCTT